TTAGTAACATCCAGAATTGTGCCGGGTCGAATTTGTATTGTGTATTAACTATATATTGTGTTTAGCAAATTCTTATTGTATTTATCCAGGTTTTTGTGGACCCATTTATTTAACTAGTCAAACAAGTTTATCCGTTTATCATCCAACTCATTAAACTTCAATACAAATCCATTAATTCCGTATCGATTGTGTATGGAGTATATAGATTATGTCTGGAATTGACACATCTATTTAAGAGATCAAAACTCTCTTTGGAGCACATAATATCTATCTCTTGATTCATTTGATGAACTTGATCACGTATTAAGGATGACTTATCGTTATTATTTTAGAATCCAAATTGAAATTTTAGTTTGTTTTTATTGAAATGATCAAAATATTTTATTTTCAATAAAAATCAAATTAAATCAGTGGTGAAAAATCGAAGTACTCATATTTTAGATAGTTAAATAGATTTTCGTCAATATTTTGAAATCAAAATTCTAAATTTTTTTGGAGAAATTTAGAGGCCGATCTCTCTACATAAACTTATTTGAAGATAAGTCTAGTAAGGAAACTTATTTGATTTTAAGTTCACTTTTTTTCAAGTTTACTATCTTATCCCTACCTTTTGAAAAAGGCATAACAGACGTCTGTCTTGACTGTCTTCTAAACAGACGAACAAAACTCATTCATCAACATACACTCATGCATAATAGGCTTCAAATTCGGCAATAACCGTCCAAAGCAGTAGAGGAGTTTTATTGTGGACTCCATTGGCGAAGTTATGGTTAATTCCTCTGTATTCAAAACATCTTCACAAACTTTGGGATTCACAAAAAGATTTAAAGGTATGTGATTTTACACTATCTTGATATTTATTTTAGGGTTTTAAAAAAACATGAACATGATTTATTTTTCAAACTGTCAACTGATTTTTTTTTTTGCATTCATAACAATAAAATTGAGATTTTCTTGTTACTATATTTAAGTGTTAAAAAGATTTAAAGGTATGTGATTTTATACTATCTTGATGTTTATTTTAGGGTTTTAAAAAAACCTGTACATGATTTATTTTTCAAAATATCAACTGGTTTTTTTTTTTTTTTGCATTCATGACAATAAAATTGAGATTTTCTTGTTACTACATTAAAGTGTTAAAAAGATTTAAAGGTATGTGATTTTACACTATCTTGATGTTTATTTTAGGGTTTTAAAAAAAACCTGTACATGATTTATTATTCAAACTATCATTTTTTTTGACAATAAAATTGATATTTCCTTGTTACTATATTAAAGTGTTATGTATTTTGATTTTTTTGTTTGTAGTTGTGTAAGACATTAAAAATTCTTTGGTTGTGTGTCTGTGAAATATATCATGTTATTGTGTGAGGACTTGAAAAATGTATCTCTTAATGTCGATATCTTAATGTTTTTGATTGTTGTTGAGTGTCCTAATTTAATTATTGACGATGTGTTATATTGCTAGAAACTTTGTAAATATTCAATTTATGGATTGTATTTTCACTACAATCCTACGAGAATTGATGTTACTGGGAACACATACAACCTTATAATTTGTGAAAGTCGATGTGTTACTGGGCAGAAAACTTTGGTGTTACTATGAAAGTTAAAAGTGTATGTTACATGATATACGTTTAAAATGTTTGTGATTGATAGTGAAAAGTGAAAATTGAGGCTGAGTTTGTGTTACTATTTGGGTTTCTTAAAACAATCCCAGTTTTATTCGTTGTGTTATTGTAAAAAGAACACGAGTACAGGTTACGGTGGACCGATACACTTTGATGCACTCTAATTTGTTTTTGAACTTTTGATGGGGTTATTGTTTGCTTTGAAGTGTTGATTGAAAGTGAGTTCTTTTTTAATCAACAACTGAAAATGATGTTCATGGACTAGTGTTATCATGATATCACAAGAGTTCTCAACAGTTTAAGTTACTTTAGGACAATGTTATGTATAGTGTAATTTTCAAACCATAAAATTGTAACATATAGACACACAAAATTGTGTTTGTTTGATGTTACTGAAGATATATTATTGAAATTTAATTAAGAATTAATGTTACTAACTTGATGTTACTATGTGTACACCTTGTAATTTGGTGGAATTGTTCTTGTTATTTTTGCACAAAATTTTTAACGCTTGATATCATGTTATTATATGTTGTATGTTACTATATGCTACGTGTTACTATTTTGTATTAAAAATTCAAATTGGATTTTGAATTGATAAGAAAAACTTATGATATGAACTAATTCGTCCATCATGTTTCTATATATAGCTAGTAGAGTATAAATATTCCATATATTATTCAGTTAGTTATCAGGATTTTTAATGAAAAGTGATTTCCAAATAAAACTCAAAATAAGGCTTCCATATATACCTAAAAGCTCTAATTTATTAGACTTTTCATAACTGGACAAAATTAACAACGTTAAGGGTAATATTGAAATTTAAAAAAAAAATGGACTTAAGTGTATACATATAAGTTTAAATACGGACTTAGACTCCAATAAATTTTTTTGCCGGACTTATCTCTGAACAAGTCTATCTAGGAGGATTCACTCCCAATTTTTACTTTTTTTTTTGCTACATTTTCATTCATGGTCTAAAACTACTAAAACGTTTTCTATTTACAAGTTAACTAATACTATGCACCAAAAAATAATTTTAATTATTATTAAAGAATGGGTCAAACTCAACCCGAACGAAAAATTATATCCGTTTTATCAAAACGTAAAAGCATGGAATATATCCTGATAGTCGAAATTCATATGCTATAGTTTTATATTACTATCATATCAAATTATCAAATCGTGTTATGGGCAGGAGATTAATTGAGGTGCGCATAAATTAGTTTGAATACTCTTAATCATTGAACAAAAAAAATAAATAAGCAGGAGATTAATTGAGGTGCACATAAACTAGTCTGAATACTCTTAATCATTGAACAAAAAAAATAAATAAAAATCAAGTCGTGTTATGAATTATCAACCTTCCAAGGTGCTTTGAGTGCAAAGACCAAAATTTTATTTCGGTATATTATTTCGGTTATCTGGGAAATAGAAATATTTTGATGTGTTTTGGAAATATTTCGACCCGTTTCAGAAACAAAAATGAAAAAAATTAAAAATTTAAGAATTTTTGTTTCAAAATATTGGTTGAAATATATCAAAATATCTTGAAATATTTTAAAATAATTGTGCAAATACATTGAAATATTGAAATATAACAACATTTTGAAGTATTATGGAATACCTCAAAGTATTAAAATTTCAATTTCATCATTAATTTATTTTGATCTCTATAAAAAAAAAATATTTCAGATATTTCGATAATTTTAAAACGATATTTTAAACTTTATTTGAGTGACGTATTATAATACATACATAAAAATGTATGTTATAAGATGAGTCGTTGGTGCTTGTTTTTTTCAAAAAAAACGATAAACACACATACACGGGATAGTATTATAGGGCTTTATACACACACATAACTCCAAAACTATCCCATGTAAGAAAGCCCGAGCCCTTACCGCGTTCACGCGACTGGGCCCACCTCGGACCCGTGGGTGCTTGTTGTCCAAGCAAATGTGAAAGGGTGCGTGACTGATTACGTGTTGAAAGTCAGACTCGTTCGTTTGTTTGTTCAAAAAGCCTACGAAGAAAAGTGAAGTAGATGACTTCTTTTGAGGCCAATTACTTTGTTATCCTTTTTCTTTAGCAGAACTACACAAGTGCCATTGACAGATTGCGTAAAAAAAAAATTAAAAACAAATAAAAATAAAAATAAAAATAAAAATATAAAATTGATAGACTGTGGACAAGGAGAACAAACTGGAGTAGAGGAATATCTTTAGCAGTAAACTACTCATTCGAGATTGTATCGTATCGGACTTATACCGCATTTTAGTTGTGTCGTATTAGGATCTCATAAAATAAAATTTGTATCGTGTTGAATTTGTATTGAGTATTAGTTGTATATAAACTATGTTTAAGAGAATAAAACATATATAATGAAACCTCAATTCATCAACTTTGTATTATTTTTGAATTGGGTTAGCATATCTTATTCCAAATTACGAAGCATGTTTGAATAACAAAACTCTCTTTTGAGCGTATATAACAATTTCACCAAGCCGAAAAAAAATTTACATTCTTAATAAAGAAAGGATCAAATCTCAAAGTGAACGAAAAATTATAACCGTTTGTTAGGAAACGCGAAAGCATAGAACATAGCAAGAAATATCACCAAGTCCTAATTTTTCTTTGAACAGGTCAAAATCCTATGCTGAAACTTGGAAGTTGAAACTATCCGTTCAACTTTCAACTGCTCATAACCCTATAACTACTCTCTCAACCTTAAACATTCATCTATCAAAATCTCTCTCTCTCTCTCTCTCTAGAGAAAACTGCTTGGGTTATTAACACCATGAAAGCACTCCACCCTCACCTTCCATCAATCAACCTTGCCAGCATCAATAAACTTTCCAAAATCCATGCCAATCAGGAAACTGTAATCGATATTCATCCACATCGAAAAACTTCTAACCCGGCCAATCGCCTAGCTGAATCACTCTCTTACCCCCTACATCTCCATGTTGGAGAACCAGCCCAAAAAAGCCTTCAATATAGCACTAATTGGAATGCTCATATTGAGGAGAAGCACAACACTCCTGTTATGTCTCCTAAGGAAGACATATAAGAGAAATGGCATGAAATCCACGGTTCTTATGAGTGGGACAATCTTCTTGATCCACTTCACCCGTGGCTTCGACCAGAGATCATCAAATATGAACGTATGATGCCTTTGATTTCGATTCATTCTCAGAGTATTGTGGGAGTTGTAGATACAATTGTCATAGGCTTTTTGATAAATTAGGCCTTGATAAGCATGACTACAATGTGACTAAGTATATTTATGCTATGTCACACATAAATTTGCCTCGATGGTTTGAGAGGTCTCACTTAGGGGAGACATGGAGCAAGGACTCAAATTCGATGGGATTTGTAGCAGTTAGTGATGATGAAGAGTCAAGTCGAATTGGGCGAAGAGATATAGTTGTGGCATGGCGTGGCACTGTGGCACCATTGGAGTGGTATGAAGATTTTCAGAGGGAATTAGAGCCTATTGGGCATGGGGAAGCAAAAGTGGAACATGGCTTTATTAGCCTTTACAAGTCCAAAAGTGAATCAACTAGATACAATAAGTGTAGTGCCTCGAAGCAAGTCATGAAAGAAGTGAAGAGGCTAGTGCAATTCTATAAGGCAAGAGGTGAGTCTTACAAGCACTGGACATAGCCTAGATGGTGCATTGGCACTCCTAAATGCTTATGAGGCTGCTACATCTCTCCCCAGCCTTCATGTCAACGTTATATCGTTTGGTGCACCTAGGGTGGGGAACATAGCTTTTCGAGATGAGTTACACCAAATGGGTGTGAAGACACTGCGGGTTGTCGTAAAACAAGATTTAGTCCCTCGGATGCCTAGGATCATCTTCAATGAAAGCTTACAAAGGTTTGATGACATAACTGAAACCCTAGATTGGGTTTACACACATGTTGGAGCTGAATTGAAGCTTGATGTGAGATCTTCTCCCTATCTTAAATACAGATTCAACGTGTTAGGGTTTCATATGCTAGAGACATACCTTCATCTCGTTGACGGGTGCCATAGCACAACCTCAACAATTAGGTCTGATGCTAAAAGGGATATTGCTTTGGTGAACAAAGCATGTGATATGCTTGTAGATGAACTAAGAATTCCTCATAGTTGGTACCAAGAGGCCAACAAGGGACTAGTTTGCAATGCTCATGGTAGGTGGGTTAAACCTAAGAGGGACCCAGAGGACATACCTTCACCTACTAGTGAAGAACATGATCATGTGCTTGGGATGATGCAGGAAAATTATGGAGAACTTGAACCCTTGTTATGTGTATAGAACACAACATTTTGCAAGTCAGAAGGTCAATGATGTTTTTAGGTGATCAAATCTTCACCAAAACTAGCATATGTAAAGATAGATTAATAGAACAAAGAACTCTTCATGTAAATTATTAAACTTGATATTATGCTCTCATATGCAGGCCAAATGTTGCCCTATGTGTCATTAATAAATGGTGTTTATCAACCCCACTTCATTTTCTCCATACTATTTTTGTCTGATTCTCTTTCATGAATAAATCCGGATAAAATTCCATGGACAACCAACAGTATACCTAGAAATTAAATTGGAGTAAAAAGGGAATAAGGAAACTTCACTTCCAATGTTGGGATGCTACCATTAATTGATATGGTGGTTGTTTTTGTTGTTATTACTACGATGAAACCGGTGGCAACCGATTGGATTTGAATCGGATTTCGGCCATTCAAATTAACGGGTTGTATTTTTGTAATTTATATCCGGATTCGTTATGAATTAAAAAATCGATTCAGTCTTAATAACACAAACTATTTTCAACAAAGTAAATTTGATTTTCAGCTCAATTTCACTAATTAATCACGCAAATTTATCATGCATTTACATATAAGTTGGACTGGACAATTAATCAGAACAAACATTGGTATAATCAAACCCATATCTGAATACATATGCCGGACGGACATTCGGATTTGATTAACAGGTCAAAAATATCAATTCATATTTGACAAATTAGACACGGATTCACCGTCCACATAAATAACTATAATTAGTGTTTGTAAGACCGACTAGAGATTAGCACCACCAGATCTTGCTATACACCAGAGCCTGTTAATTTGTGTCCCTTTGTTGTTATTCGTCCAATGCTTCGGCCAACCTATGTTTTTGGTAGTTGAAGAGATCCAAATACTCAAAATCAATTAGGTTTTCAGACACAACAGGATCTGTCTGTGTGATTGGGTCATGTAGTCTATGTTTTTTATGGACAATCCCTAGTATGATTGATGGGTCATATAATATGTTTTTGGACAAGACAAAAAACAAAAAAAAAAAAAAAGCATATTAGGCTTCTGCCCGCTCTACTTTTTATAGACGGATAGAAGCCTCCTTATTCCTTTTAATATGGTTATCCAAAAATACGAAGTGAGTTTGCCTATAAATTGACATTAGATTTCAACAAGTCAAAGAATGAGAAATATATCTTAAATAAAGTTATAACAAAAAAGTGTGAATTGTATTTTTTCGCAGCTAAATTTCTTTCAATGTTGTTTATATGATGTAAATTCGATTTTTTTAATATTTTTTATTTTTATTTTTATTTATTTAATGCAATTACCTATATTGTTTTAGGACTTCATGAATTTATAGCTAGTAATTTACTTTTTAAATGTTTTATTTTTTAGTCTGATATCCATTATGTTGTTCCCTTTGATGGGTTGAAGTGGAGACCGGGATTAGTAATTGTAGCTCAACGTAAAAACGTAGACTTAGCTATCTTGAAGGGGATGGGATAAAATCATGGGAAAAAAGAAAGTTAAAATATAAGGAGGGAATCAAATCAAGACTAGCGTGATTTGGTCAAAAGGGCGTAAAAATCAATCATAAAATACAAATACTTAAAAAAAAAAAAAAAGCATATAAATTACACAAGTTATGGGTCCACTCATTTGACTATAGCATTACCAACCATGGGATTTGATAAAATCCAATATTTATCCAACGTAATAAGCCGTGTGAAATTCAATCAAATCCAATCTGACCAAGTCCAAGGATTTGACATCGTTTTCAAATTTGTTTAATTCATATCCGACTTATTTATTACATTGTATAGTTAAATTTATGTCGCGTATAAATTATAGTTAGTCCTATTTGTATGAACATATTTATGTCAAGGGTCTAATAAATTATTGGTTACCCCTAAATTCGTACCCACAAATTTCATATCACTTTTATTTGTTACAGAGATATCTATTAATTAACAGAGAGGTGACTTGTGGTATCGATCTATGTAATGACTAAAGTACCCATAAATTGTCTGTAATAACTGCTCATAACTTCCTCCCTCATCATATTTAGTTGTCTCCTCATAAAATTTTCGATTAATCTTGACAACAAAGTCTAAATCATTTGGTCTAATCCCTTCATTTTTTTTTTGTGCCACTATTGGTAGTACTGCATCAAATGCAGTTGATCCATTAGGGCCACTGTGTGAAGTTACAAAAAAAATTACACTGTATGGATTCATGTCGACGCTGTATATGCAAGAAGTGCATTTATATGACCTGAGTTTCGCCATTTTCTTCATGGTGTTGAAGGAGCAAATTAATTTAGCCTTAATGCACACAAGTGGTCCTTGACCACTTTTGATTGTTGTTCCTTTGGTTAAGGAACCAAGTAACCTTGTGTTTACACTCGAATAATAAAAAACTCAGGAGTGACGCGTGACAAGGGTCAACGGTCAGGATTAAGTCAACAAAGATTCAAGAAAGATAAGATAAAAAAATCTCAATGGATCTTGGATATCATGAGCCAACGATTATAGATGGTTTGGTGCATGATAGATGATGCCGAAAATAAATGCCCTGAAACTAGTTTCGTGGGTGGAAAATATGACTCTGACAATAGCCACCACCTATAAATATGGAGGCCTAGAGTATAGAGAAGAGGTCTTTTGATCACATGGTATTCCAGAGCTTTCTTCCAAGCTATTGAGCTCAGTTGATTTCTTTTACATAGTAATCGTCACTCCGGTGACCCTTTTTTCATTTAATTTTAAGTATAGTAGTCCATGCATCAATTCCTCTTTATCGTTCACATTACTGTATTTTTTCCAAGTTATTTTAAATTCCTAGTTCATTCATTCGTTATTCAAAAAATTGTTTAGGTCCTTAATCTCCGAGGCAGATAAAAAGAATATAAANTCATGCATCAATTCCTCTTTATCGTTCACATTACTGTATTTTTTCCAAGTTATTTTAAATTCCTAGTTCATTCATTTGTTATTCAAAAAATTGTTTAGGTCCTTAATCTCCGAGGCAGATAAAAAGAATATAAAAGTAAGCCTTATTTCAATTGATTGAACACCCACAATTTTAGAACCTAACGTGCAGTTCGAATAGGTAATGTTCTAAGTATTTGAAAACTATGACTTTTAGGACTTTGGCACGCCTAGTAGGACCCACGGTAACAGTGATGGCACTGAAAAAATCCAAGTCCAGTTCGGTAGACATGCCTTTAGGGGATGAGATAGTTGAAAAAGGTGGGTCTGGTGTTTCCAACTTGCCAGAAGAGTTGCCATCACCCAGGGGCAAAAAAAATCAATGGTCCAACTCAGAGACGAAGGCCTTGATAAAGACAATTTTCCAGGAAGTTTCCCAGCAAGTATCGGTATTCATTAATGGCCTGAGAGATCTGATAAGAGTAGAATCCACTTATACCAGACAAGCATTGGAACCGCTATTCGAGATGATGAATAAACCAGGGGTCGCAAGGCAACGACTGCTGCCCCAGCAAAAGCACCACAACAGGGACTTCTTCCGTACATGCTGCCACCAAGGGCACAACAGAGTAAGAATGAATGGCCCATGGAGAAATAATAATCCGCTTTTTAGGAGGACATCCATCATATGCACGAAATCCGAGGGCAAAGGAGGCAGTTGTCAATTGTGTTTCTGGTGGCATAATAGGTAGAATGGCCTCGGCTTTGAGTTGTAGAAGAAATTTGAATGCATGGAGTTTAGCGATCTTTTCGAACCGACAACACGGGCGACGTGTTATAAGCAAATATTTCGGTTAAAGCAAGACTGCAAGAATGCCTCTAAAGTCACTTACTATCGCGATCCTAATACTAAAATACTCATAGTCGAACTACGTAGCCGAGATCGTGACCAAACGCCCATACGTATGCTAAGCCCTGGCTAGAGCTTCTGAATAGTAGGGCCCAACGCAGACCTCAACAATGCCAAGAAGGGAGCCGGTAATACCAATCGTAAATACGAGTTTGATTTTTTGAAGTCCAATCAAGTCTTGCATCACCTTTTTGGAAGCACCATCTACATTAAGCTTCAACAAAATCCCAGGAGGAGGCTCCCATTTGATCCACAATACTTTGGTAGCGACAGAAAAAGGAGAGCCAATTCTAAGCTCCTGCAACCACTCCTTACCTCTGCAATCATCCACTTTCTTAGGTTTTATCAAAAATGCCTGCCACCTTAATGCATTGATCACCTGCAAATATATGCCATAAGCATTCAAAGAGGTCCCCTCATACCTCCTTCTACACCTCTTCTTCCATAAAACCCAATATACCAACATAGACACCCCCTGATCATTCCTTGGCTCAGAGACTGAACTCTAAAACCTCTCATCAATCTTAGAAATCTGCACATGGGAGTCTCACCTAGCAGCACTTCAAAACCCATAATAGTAGAAAGCCTTCTCCACACAGATTGAGCAAAAGAACAATTAACAAACAAGTGTGAAGTATTTTCCTCCCCCATACCACAGAGAATACATTTACTAGCCAATGCCACACCCACAGTCTGGACTCTAGCATTAGTGGACAATGCATCTCTAAAAAACTTCCAAATACACAATTGAGCACTAGCAAATATTTTCGGTTTCCAAATACTTTGAGTAATGATACTCTGAGTACCTCTCTTCCTAACCTTATCCCTAGAAGATTTGACAGAAAAAGCGCTTGAATTAGTATACTTCCATACTCTTCTGTCAGTCCTCTCAGACCAGACCACACCAGCACCTCTAACCTCTGCTTGTAACTGAGGAGTAAGCCACTCAGAAACTCCTTCCAGTTGCCACCCATTAATATTCCATACCTCATTAACTTTGGGAAAGAATAAAGGACATCCTTCTATTTTGGGCAGTAATGGACCAGTCTCAATCCAAGAATCACACCAGAAATCAGTCCCTTGACCATTACCAATAATCATCTTAGGATTATTAATCACAAACTCAAACCATGGCCTCAGAATCTCAAAGCTCTGACCTGCCCCAATAGACAC